GGTGGTGCATTTCTTTTTTGTAAAATTTGCAAAAATTTGAGGAAAAAGCAAAAAAACAAAAAGGCTTGTCTTCTATGTAAATGCAGTGAAGCCACCGATCTTCAAACAATACGGAGCCCTAAGGTTTGAACACCGGTGGCTTCGCTGCATTTCTACAGGAGTTAAGCCTTTTTCCTTTTTTTACTTTTTCCACAGGTAAGTTCACTCTTTGCAAATTTTATAGAAAAAATTCACCATCTGTGGGCAACGCTGCACAAAATCGTAGCGCGATAGGTAAAGAAACCGAATTTTGCTGTCAATTTAAAGAGCCTGGCCGCTATTTGGGACGCCCGGTAGATAAGAATCGAAAGTATTAATGTTGTAACCCGCTTAAGGTATAAGAAACATTTGAAATGAAAGCTTGTATCTAAGCCTATTTAAGAATGGTAATATTGTTAGTTTAAGTATTGTTTATACTGAAGAAACAACATTGTAAACATGAGAATAAAAGTTAAAAGTACAAAAGTCAATGTCATTTTAAGAAAATACGTTTTTTTTTTTTTTTTTTATATGAAAAGCTTTGACCTTGGAAGGGGCAGAAGATGGGTCTTGCGATTTTCGCAGTTTTCACTAGAGAAACATTTTGGAGTCTCGCAAAATTTAGATTAAATTATTTACAATAATGACAACGTTTTTACTACTTCAATATTTTATATAGAAGGGTGAATGTTCACTAAAAGTGTGTTTTTATTTCAATTTAGAAAATAAAAATGCTTCAATCGTGCACTTTTGACAATCATGGGCCCAGTTTCAATCGAGCTTGCTTTCGATGTACAATTATTTAAGGCAAATGAAAGCTTGTGTGCAAAAATATTTAAAAGTTTTAATATTGTTAATTTAATATATTTTATATGAAAGAAACAACACCGCAAACATGAGAAGTAAAGCTAAATGTACAACGTTCAAAGTCATTTGAAGAAAATATGTATTTTTTAGATTTCCAATCTTTTTACATGAAAAGCTGTCTGTGTGTTCCTTATAGATACAATAAAATTTCTTCTGCGTATATGGTTTCGTCATATTAAGCCGTGCGTATTAAAATACGTATTTTAATCGCTTCTACGACGCATACCTCTGTCATTTTGTTTTTCCCTTAAATATTAGTTATTTTTGTAACATGATCATAGTTCTTATTGGTTGGCGAGTTCACACACAGTTCGGAAAAAACTTATACATCAATAGTATTTATAGTATAATATGCAAGAAGTTCTTCCGCACGTTCAATTTTCTTACTTTGTAAACTAGTGCACTAAAGTTACCACACGTGGACCAGGTACAAGGCTAGTCATTGCGGTAAGGCGCCTGCGCGATTTTCCCGTCTTTTATCTAGCCCTATAGCCTTGTACTTGCTCCACGAGCGGTAACTTTTGCACACTACTACGCTTCTCACGCGCTCAAAGTCCTTCTGAAAATGACTGATTTAGTAGTTTTCAATAACAATCAGCAACTTTCTAATTTGAATCATATGTCTATTTTCACTAGTTAAAAAATTAAATAACAAATTTTAAATAATTAGCTGGCTAATTAGTATGTTTTTGGCCATTCCTGACGTCCGCCGTGGTTGGTAGTTTGTTTCCGAAGACAGTTTCTTTTCTTTTTTTTAACGGCCTAATTCTGAGGATATTTGAATCTTCGCAAAAACACCCAGTATATATATATATATATATAAATTACGTAAAGCATTTGACAACGGCCCATATCTTTTTATTCTTGCATGGAGGTAAAAATATGCCTTGTTTAGAAACGCACTGCTCAATATGACGACACCATATATGTCAAAAAATGTCATTGCATACACGAACTCAGCTTTGTTACGTCACGGCGCGGTGGTGGCGCGTCGGGCGCACTTCCGGTCTGAAGCTGTGAGCGGAAGTCACCAGAAATCACCATGCGGGACGTGCATTGCTGTGTTCTTTTGGAAGAAGCCAGACAAAAATCCGCCTTCTTCTCGAAACACCATAGCTGGGGCTTTACCAAAAGATTCGGGAAAGTTTTGAAGGTTAGTTTTCATGTGTCTTCTGCCTGCTCGGTTCGTCCGAGAACGTGGATAGGTGCCGTAAAAAAGAAAAACCAGACGCCACCGCACATGGTGAGCACAAAGTGCTCACCATTGTGCGGTGAGCACTTTGTGTTAAATTCACCGATACTTGCGGCTGTCAGATTTATTTGTTTTGTCCCAACATGAACGCGGGAAACCCGGCAAGTTGTACTGTGGGCTACGTTCAGTGCGTCTTCAAGTTCAAACGGCCGCCTGATCGTTCGAAGTATCGTCTGCTCTTTCAAACGTTTCTGCGTCTGCTCTTTTAGACGACAGGCTGAAACGAACTACGTTCATTGTGTCTTTAAGTTCAAACAGCCGCCTGATTGTTTGAACTGCCGTCTGCTCTTTAAAACTTTTCTGCCTGTTTTCGTCTGCTCGTTCAAAGGACAGCGTCCAGTTGACCGAACATTGACCCGGTAATTCCGATAAGAAGTAAGTGCAGGCCTCAAAAGGCTAAAGTTTGAAGGTTGGTTGGGGTAAGTAGGCTCGGTGTAAACAGTACATACAAGGAGATGTTGATCATTTTTACCATGCAGTAGCCATCACCGACTTGTTATGCCTAATTCACTTGGGTGGATTCTGCTTGCGATTTTCAGTATCGACGTCGAACATCTCAGCTACGGTTCACGACATTGCAGCGCGAGCGATGTCGCGACTGAAAATAGCGAGCAGAATCTCATCGTGCGAATCAAGCTTTAGCGTCCAATCTGCGGCATCCGCGCGAAATGAATCGCCGCGTGTCAGATTATTCAAGCGAAGTTTTGAGGTGTAAGGAGCCTCGATAATTTCGCTGAGGCCGCTAAAGTAGTCAGACATCGCCAGGAAGGCGTAGAATCAACAATTCCAACGCGAAAAAGAGCACGGGGACTCACTCCGACGCCGACAACATCGCATTCCAAGTTTTTTTATGGGCGACGATAAGCTTCTTGCCCACACTCCATCGCGCATGCGCGGCGCCGGTGGCGTCCGCTAGGGGCGCTCCGGTTTCTTTGTAAACATTCATTGGTCTTATAAAAGAACACATAAAAAGCTTTAGATATGAAATCGAAAAAATTAAAATACTTTTCATTTCGTATGTTTCTTGTGCCTTGAATAATTGTACATGAAAAGCTAGCTCGATTCAAATTTGGTCCGTTAGTGTCAAAGGTGCAAGATTCAATAATTTCTATTTTATAAAATAAAATAAAAAAACACACTTGTTGAGAACTTTTCTTCCTGAAATCTTAAATCAGTTAAAAAGTTACAATTGTTATTTAAACGTTTCGAGACTTCAAAAGGTGTCACTCATGAAAGCTGCAAAAATGTCAAGACGTACCTTCAGCCCTTTCGAAGCCCAAAACTCAAGAAAACTTTTTTTCTGTAGTTATAATTTTAGTTCTGTTCTAGTTGCACATTATCTACCAACATATAAATGTATATTTTGTTTTTCAAAATATTTTGAGCACCGATCTATTTTCTCTTACAATTTGAGATGAACTCGCCCTTATATTTGTTAGTGTTGAGCTCGAACCGCATCCAAGCAAAATCTTTGGAAAGTAGCTTTGATATCAGCAGTGGCACCGTCATATGCCTCGTGAGCCATAAATAGTTAACCAAAATTCCATTTGATGGAACCAGAAAGTCACATCACTGGAGAGGAGAAGAGCTGCACTTATTGTAGCAGTGGATAATTGAGTTCGTTGACAGACCCCTTCTCTCTGTCTGTTAAGCTCGCTCAGTTCTGAAGGGTCCTCGACGCTGCTTTTAGCAGTGCCGCGTACTCCGAAGGCAGCTGTTGACGCTTTGCCTTCTTTTTCTTGGAGGTTTTTGTTTGTTTTTTTCGTTGAATCTGCTAGTTAGAGCGTTCTTTTTCCCGCTTTCCCAATTTCTGCCTGAAATCACTGCTTCCACGTAATTGAGCCTCTGGATTACAGGGGATTGTTGTCCACGCTTCAAGCTCTCTATAGCCTTCAAGGAAGCGCTTTCTCCAGTAGAACTTGCGGAGGGGAAGGGGGGGGGGGCGACATCATGGTGGCGGCAGTTTCCCGTTGACTAAGAAGCACCGAAATGTGTTGCCTCAGCTGAGCAATTTCTTGGTCTTTTTCAGAGAGGATACTATAAGGTTATTTGCACTGTGCAACGAAGACTTCAGCTTCTGGTAAGGCGTCATCGCCTTCCAAGTTGTCCTGTATCATTGCTTTTGACGGGGAAGTCAAGTCACCTCGCTGATGCAAGGAATTTGACGGTCAATGGGGCCAGAATCGTCGTGCCAGGTAACGTTACCTCATTCTCGAAGTCCCTGCTCGGGCACCAAGAGTGACGACGCTTGGAGGATCGTCAAGGTATGTATTTATTCAGACTTCGTTGAGGCGTGGGGATACCCGTTCTACATCCCACGCCCGATCTTCTTTCTTCTTTTCTCGATAGCGCGCCATCGTCACAGATGTACCTGAGGATTGCGTTTGTTTTATTTTTTTAAGGCGTCTTGTCAATCACAAGTTTCAGTGCCACAAATGCTACAGGTTTCAACTATTTTAGTATTATAATTTCTGCCAAGATTATGTACCGGTCGTTGCTTGCCTCAGCAGGCTCGCTGTGAATATGCCAGATCTTGCATGTGAATTCAACACACTCGCACAAGGAAAAAGACATGCATACCGTAACGTTTCATGAAAACATTAAAATACCTCGAAGTTTCTTGATTATGAGTGGAAAGAAGGTTTGTCATAAGTTTAGTGTCAGAATGACACAAATGCGCCCCTTTTTTATAACTGACACGTATCGTTGGTGTTATCATTTGTCTGGCAGTATTAAATACAGTATTGAAAAATGCCTAAAATAAGATAATTAGAAAGTACTTTATTACTCAGAAATTTATACAAGGACTCTATATTTTTTCTTACAATGAACTACAAGTTGCTTTCTTTTTTCAATAATCGTATTAAGTTGCTTGCCTCGCCGCAACCTTCCGTTTGAGTTCTTGTCTCAAGATCTTGCCAGCATCCGACCTGGGTAGAGACTCCATGAAGATAACTCCGCCATAGAGATGCTTGTATATTGCAGTTCGACCTGAAAATAATAGCGTATACAAAAGCGACAATACAGGTTGTTGTCTTTTTTTCAATATCAAGCAACACGTATACAAGGCCGTGACGTCAAACTCATACTGAGTGACCATGTGCTGTTATCTCTTGGGGACAAAAACCTAATACTCCACACGTAAGGGACGCAGTGAATAAAAGTGTGGCACAAGAAAGCATAATTTTCCTACTATATGACTGCAACAGCTGTAATATTATAGCTGACTAACGCAAACTGCGTCGTTAACTGCCGGAATACGCTATACATGACATTCTATATTACTGCTATTTGGATTGTTTCTAGTTCTGTCTATTATCATTTCAAACGTTATCTCGTTTCTAAACTTTACATTCACGTACCAGGGATCGTCATGAGCTACCTTTCTCCTTCTCCCTCAGAAGGTGGAGGCCGGTCCCGGTAACAGCAATCTTTACGACTTCTGCTACCCGTTGCAGCAGGCAATTTCGCGGTTTAGTGTGGAGGGCAGTTAGCAGGCAAGCCGTTTAGCCGTTGCGGGCCCTCGAATGTTTAAATATATTCTACACCAAATGCGATCAGCAGAAGCCTCAAAACGTCAGCGGTAACGTCACACGACTTGCAGGGGCCTTGCGGTATCAGGGATCCACACCCCAAAATCCAGATGGCCCTGGAACGCGCTTTACGCAGGTCCTATAGACCTTTCCAGCGGCAGTCTCGAACGAAGCGATTTACAGCGCGCGTCCCTGGTTTTGAGAGTGTACGTCAGTGTTGCCCGACTGCGCTGAGCTGTGGAGTTTCTCGTCAGTGGGCTGTAGCAGCCTGCGTAGGCGCGATTCCGGTCACTGGCAGCGGCTGAATTGCCGCGTTTTCTTTTTTATTTTATGTTCTGTGGCGAACATAATTTATAGAGGTCTTTAAGAAAGCAGTGCTCTATTTTTGGGAACAAAAACAAAGAAATGAAAGCTGTTTTGGTGAGTCCGTGCGCGACAGAACAAATGCAACTGGAATGTTTGTTTCATTTTATGTTCATCGTTTTACGGCACCGTACTCTCAGCCGTGTCAATCTATACAGGTCAAAATATTTGACCACACAGGATATCCGAACAACATGGATATACCCCGCCCATAACATGAAATTCAATGAGTCTCATCAATCGAAAAACGTATATTGTACGTACCCCACGGTGCCGCGTTATCCGAACAGGATTTGAGAAAGGTCTCAAATAACACAGCATATCCAATATACAGTGTCGACGATAGTCAATTCACGACAATCGGACGGAATCCGGCGTGTTTTGGGGAACATGTAGAAGAGAGCAGCTTTTTGCACAGCTTCAAATCAAATGAACGAACGTGTCTATCCCGTTCCCACACCCCGGACCCGACCCTATCAGCAATTTTTCGCGAAGACTCGAAACACAGCCGGGAAGGCTTTTTGGAGATTATCTCAACGGAAATAATCCTCCAAGAACGTCGAACTGCCTGCGTCGCGGGCTGCTTGACGTTCGCTCTCTTCGTTCGTTTCCTGCGAAGGCCAAGCAGGCTACGAGCCCTGGTATTCTCTGGTTCTCACAATGGAAGATAACACACAAAGGGTAAGCATCCTGAACAGGCGAATGAAGTAAAAACTTCCAAGAAAAGCCGGCGAACAACGAATGCACAATGCAGGTACGGTGTCACGCTGACCGGGTTTCCACAGCTCAGGCGGGTGCCAGAAATTTCTGGCTGATAGGGGTCGCTCGATTCGCAAAATGGCGGCGGCCAGAGCGCTCTTTTTGCAAAGGTCTATACACTGCTTCAGGTTAAGAGCAGGAAAAGCTCCTCCCCAAAGCCCTCCTCTCTTTCCACCTTAGCAGAGCGAAGTGTGGAGGGGACTCGCTTCCTCTCCAGCGTTCGCTCTGCTAAAGTTTTAAGAATGGGGGGCTTTGTTGGAAGAGCTGATGCTGCTGTTCTTAACGAGCAACGAAATTTATAGCGCCGCAACATTTCCAAACAGTTCATTCATCTTGCCTTAACGAATAATCTGTATGAAGTTAAAGAACTGGCTGGTTTTTATTAGAAACTTTATTGCATTCTTTGTCTTCGCAAGAGTCATACTTTAGAGGTACGCACGTACAGACACGCAGCATATTTGTTGCGTATCTAGTATGCTCTCATGAAGTTTATAATTGGAGCAATTTGTTTCTTTGTTTTCTCACTGATTAAAAAGATAATTGAGCAACTCGAACTAAAAATATGAGCCATTCTAAACACCCTGTTTCCTGTGGATAGGCCTCTAGGCAGCAACCAATATAGCACCTATTTTATTTCTGGGCAACGCGCGCAGTTCGTACTCAAAACTTTTCGCCGATGTGCGGGGCTCTTATATGTACCTCCTAGTACATACATGAGCTCCAATTTAAATTAGCTCCTCTTAGAGTCAGTGACAGCCTAAAACAATCAAGGGAGTGACTTATTATGCTGATGAGCCTTGTTTCGTAATTCATTCGTCGGTATTCTTATCAGCGAATGCAATAATCTCATTGGCTTCGGAGCGATAATGAGATGTTCGGGACTCGCCACGCCCCGCATTTCCTAAGCAGTCAGTGACAAATGACCCTTTTCGGGTCATTTGTAATAAATTATGTGTGACGGCGATTAGTTGGTCATCCACTGTGTTCACGCGTTGCGCACGAGCGCTTCGTCAACATTCGGACTGTACTTGGAATGAATTCCAAACGAGTGCTGCGTCAGTGCTCGGCGCGAACTCGGAACCAATCAAGGGCTTCACGCCGGAAGCGATGAGACCAACTAATGGCGGCTGCGCATAATTTATGCATCATTTAACAATTTCGGAAAGGGTCAATAGTTGAAACGTAAATTTACGTTTACTTTAGATCTTGGAAATATTTTGAAGGTCATATACCAGCAACGAGCTGCTTCAGTTCTTTAGCGACGACTTCGTGTTTCTCTTTGCAGACATCTCGGAGGACGACGCAAGCTGCTGGAGCCTCCCCGTACTTGGCGCTGGGAAGACCGACCACCGCGACCTCCTTGACCGCGTCGTGACTCAGCAGGATTTCTTCCAGTTCTGCCGGAGCAACCTGATTGTCCATACACTTTATCATCTGCTTCAACCTGTCCACTATGTACAGGCGCCCCTCGTCGTCGAGGTAACCAAAGTCCCCTGAAAGCAAAAAGCTATTTAATCGACATTTTTTTAGCGTCATACAAACTCTGGAAGTGTTTTACAATCCCTAAACACATCCCTTATTTTCATACTGCGAAGCTCGTGTGAGCCGGTTGCGATGCTGTAGATTTTATTTTTATTTTTATTATTCGCGTTCCAGATAATCTACACTGAACTGGAAAAGGCTGCATTTGTGCGGGTTCTTTAAGGCCAAACTGTCCAAAAAGTGTTCAACGAAAAGCCGTTTACAAGAGACTTCTTTCCAAAAAAGTTCAATGGAAGAACATTCACCAAACAAAAATACACCGCAATAAAGAAATATCAACTTCCATAAAAATGCTCACAGCAAAAATAATGTCCATGTTTTCGGCCTCATACCTGTGCGGAGCCACCCATCGCCAGTCAGTACGGCGGCAGTGGCTTCGGGACGCCTATGGTAGCCTTTCATCATGCTGCTGCATTGGACGCAAATCTCACCGCGTTCACATGACGCCATCGTTTTTCCGCTGGCAGGATCAACAACCTAAAATAAAATTTTAAAATATAGTTTTTTTTCAGTTTTTTTTTTTTTCTTGTACTATTGTTTCTTTAGTCTTGATTTACTGGTATATGCTTCTGAGCTTTCTCAGCTAATGTTATCTTCAATATTTTGTACTTTTCGATTAATCTCCAAGTCATGCGCACAACTGCTGTTAAATACTCGTGCTAACGAAGTGTTTTGTTTACGTTTGTAATAGTTGTTCTTTCTTATATTATCTCACCAAGACTCTGAGTGAAAACGGTTAACACGCTTCTCAAAATGATTTTAAAAGTGTACCATTGTTCACTACAGCAATTGGGAACCATGCAGTAAACAAAATAATGGTTCCACCCCATTTACTCTGTCACGTGATGCCATCACCTTCACTTTGCAGCCAGCGACTGGAAAACCGACGTTGTCCGTCCCTTGTCCCAGAGGTGCCGCGCTAACGTATCCAAGTGCTTCGGTCAGCGCGTAGGCGCTTGCCGATGTTTCGTTGCCGAACAGCTCACACAGGTCTCTGGTGAGCGACTTGTGGAGCGTGCCTCCTACGAGGTAGATGTGTTTCATTCGTGGGACTCTCTTCCCCTTGGCCTTCGCTTCGTCAATGATAGCTTGCATCTTTGTGGTAAATATTAATAGTGTTGACACCTGCATTGCAAAAGAAACATCATGGTTATTAAGCACAATATGCAAAATACTAATATTTTACAGTTCACAACGAAGGTTCATACTGCTGCCGGACTTTGCGGACACCTTTGTGAGGAAACAAGGAAAGTAGTTGGGCTGTTTGGTGGTACATACTGTTTGGTGGGAACAGCGCACCAAAGACGTAGGACCAGGACGAAGAAATAACAAAGAGCGCCCTCTCTGTGTGTTTCTTCGTCCTGGTCTCACGTCTTTGTTGCGCTGTTCCCACCAAACAGTTTGTGAAGAAATATTAGTCTAACTACGGAATCCTAATTGCGCGACTTTTAATTTTACGTTTTAATAAAATATTTACAAAGAAACAAGCATGAAACAATAGGACTCGTGGTCGAAATGATAACAGGGAAACCTTCAGACGTTTAGTATTTCTTGAGCATTAAAAAAAAAACGGGCGGCTCGTAAAAACCTTATAAAAGCAAAATGTGTTCCAATGGGTGCACGAAATGTATGAATAAATTTGCACGATTCTGTTTTAAAAGAAACATACTGCAGCCGATTACAGACGCTCACAGCGTGGGAACGGCAGTCGATAGAGGGCAATGAGAGTATGCTGGAGTCCGGGAAACCGAAAGAAACACCCCATCATTCTCATTCCTCCAGTGACTACAGTAAAGCAACGCAAAAACATAAACTTAACTAGCGCACTCATCCTAGTCATCGTTCTTACTTCATAGGTTTCAAGGTCCTTCAAGAAGTCTTCAGTTGACAAGCAGGGCTCTCTGAAGACGGTCGTGACACCCGTACACATGTAAAACACGTTAATTAAAAATCCAGAGCCGTGGGTCAGAGGATTTAAGGTCAGAAAGACGTCGCCTTCAACCGTTGGCATAAAAGAACTGAAATCAGCAAAGAACAGGAACTGTTAAACAGGCTGTTGTTCTTTTTGGTGGCTGAAGAAATGATAACAAGGAACTGAACCAGACAGGCCGGCCGAGATCTAGAGCGTATGTTATTGGGTTTATTAATAACTACACGGTTACATGGCGGTTATTGTAATAGTCTTTGTCCTTGTTATTCCTTATCGATTCGCATTGAGAAAATCAAATATAAAAAGGGTCATTTTTAAACAGTTGATACATTTGTCATTTTGTTTAAGGTCTTGAGGTACATCCGCACGTGCGACAACGAAGCCACAAATTGTCTCCTCCCGTTTTCTTTTTTTTTTTTTTTTCTTTTTTTTTTTTAAGTACGCACTTTACAAAACAATGTATTTGCGCTAGGGCAGAGGATATAATAGTGAATAAATTATACATAGCTTGGCGGGTTTTTTCAGTGCCCCTGACAAAGTCGTTGATGCTTTTCTTGCACTTGATGACAGATTCCCTATGGCCGCTGTTAAAGTTTTAACCTACAGGGTTTCGTCATAACATACTCAGCCCAAGCATTACCGATGTCCTGATCAATTATAACAATTTTGGCTCGAATTTGTCACGATTCAATCTTTGCATATGTCAAGATTTACACGCTCTTTTTTATTGTGAAATTGTCATGAAAGAGTCAACAGAGACTGACACGACTTCTTATTGTTGTGGATAACCGAATAAAGTTACTGATTATAAACTCAAAAAACGATTGCCCGATAAAGGAATCTTTTTCATCGCACACTGTCAAATTAATATTTTAGTTATAAGGATTTGTCAGCACCAATTGACACTTCACAACTTTGTAAGTACAATGAACATCCGAATATCCTGCTCTAACAGCTGACACTTTTATATTTCTTGTACTTGATCTTAATCCACTGCATTTCGCAATAATGCTTCCTACACTCGCAAAATCTCTAATCAATAAATTAAGAATGGAGTTCCTACTTTTTTACGATTTTCGCCATAAACGCTGCGTTCAGGCAAGTTAGATCACATCAAAATAAGCCATGAAACTCAAACACTTACACTGTATTTTTTTGCATTTCTAAATTACGAGGGATGGGCGAACGCTCAGTAAAACATCTGGTTAAACGGAACAGTTTATAAATACGTAATAATCATGGGCAATTTTAATATAATGAGACAACTAGCTGAAAAAGGCTATCCAATAATTGTATCACCTGAATTTAACGTTCAAAATTTTTAAAATCAAACAAAACAATAAAGCATCTGTTTAGCGTCCTCGCACACGCAAAATGCTCCGTTTTTTTGTGTTTTTTTTTCTTTTCTTTGTTGTTCTATATTGAAAAATCTACATACCGGGAAATACAAAGACTTGCTTTTTTATATATATAGCGAAAATAAATTATGCTTCGCCGAACAACGGGTCTGCGTTTAAATGTCACACCAGTTGTGAGGGACCAGATGTTCGTAATAAAAGAGGAGAAAAAAGAAGTCAGTTGTTAGTCCAGCGGTATGTATTGTCGTTTCTTTGTGTGTATGTTTATTCTAGTTTAGCTCGCCTTATCTAAAGTATGAACCAATTAGCTCAGTTTAAGCCGGTTACAGATGCGAAAGTTTTGGAATTTACGATGTTCGAACATTTTTAGCGAGGAACAGGGGCCCGTTCCCAGTACCGGACCGACGCCATCCGTCTTCATGCATGTATTCAAACGCGTTGTATGCCGCAATTGTCACCTTGAAAGTTACTGAAACCTTGTTTGTTTTGTTTTGTTTTCTAAAATATTGAGGCCCTTATAAATTTATAAAATCTGGTGTTTAATTGTGACCACTTGAGCTAATTTGCACAATGCGTAGATTCAGGCACGTAGCCAGGATTTTGATTCGGGGGGGGGGGGGGGGGGGGGGGGGGCGTTATGACAAAAATGTTGTATGAGAGAGAGCGGGAGAGGAGGCCCCAGCAACATGTAAAATGCCACCCCCCCCCCCCCTTCCTGGATACGTGCCTGCATAGATTTATTGTTGGAGCGATAAAAACACAATTCGTTTGTCCCCGAAGGCCTCTTGACTCAGTTACATTGTTGAGTAAAGTCAAGAACAGGAATTTTTATAGGTACTGCATACAAACAAGTATCCGATAACTTGAGGCTGACAATATTTGCTGAACATAAAGTCAAATTACGTACCAAAATGAATGAAAAGAAGATACGAACGCCATGTGAGAAGCCTCGACACCTTTTGGTAGTCCAGTAGATCCAGATGTATAGATAACAGCGATCACGTCATCCGTGTTTTTGCTAGGACAGTACTCTTTGAAACAAGACTCTGAAAGCTGTTGAAACTGGTTGATGTCCGTAAAACCTGGTAGATCTCCTATGCAGAACATTTCCTGAAAGTAGCTCAATCTTCGTGAACGAGACTCAGAAAAAAGGCATTGCGATTCTTAACTTGAGTGACAGCTAAATAAGGTGTTTGGCAGGATCCTTTAACGAATTGTTTTAAAATATTAAGGTGTGCTACTTGGTTAAGCTTAATGAACAATTAGTAGCGCAAGAAAATAGACAAACAAGAACACGAAGAATAAAACTAATTATTCGTTAGTTTTTTATACAGCAGGAGTTTAGTCTGCCAGAACATGGCGACATTGTCAGCCAATGTAGATGAGCAATTTAGCCAGTGCAGTAAGTCTGCTAGCCTTATGTATTTAACATGCATCTCGCAGTAGTCATACACAACCGCACGCCATTACGATGCTTATCCAGATCGAGACGGGCAGCAGTTCCAACCTATGATCCCGAGTTCTGCAGCGCGAGCTTTTACTCCACGTGTTCCAAGCTGGTATGCGCTTGCCCACTCGGCCAGTGATCCCCAACGAACACGAAAACGGAACAAGGGCTAACTCGCAACTGTCAACCTAATGAAGAAAAGGATGAAGTGAAAATAGTGTTCAAAAGATGAAAAAGACAATTTCTTATTTTCAAACTTCTCTTTTTTTACTGTTTATTTATTTTCTATCGTATTTTACTTTCTTAGTTTACTACCTTATTTTCTTATATCACAATATTTTACTATCTTATTTTACTATCTTATTTGACCATCTTTTTGTTTTGTCATTTCCCTCTTTTGATTACTATTTTCTCTTCGTTCTTCCCTTTTGCATTGAACCTACGGTTGTTAGTAAGCGCTTGTGTCGTCTTCGTGTTCTTGTCCGCGTGTCTCCTCTGCGCTATTCGTTCCTCATTATCCTTTAAAGAAATTAATACCCAATGCATTTGATCACCATCGTACTGACTTCGATGTCAGCACCTTTGAAACCATCTTCGTATAGTTTTGAAAAGGGACACAAGATCTTTGTTATTGGTTCCGTTCTGTTTGTCGATTTCGATGCAAGTGGTCCATCGAGATTGAGCACCGAATTAATTTCAACTCTAAATATTATGGTAGGTATGCTTCGTTGAACAGCTGATGCGAAGGTTCGTATTGAATGAATTGCTATACTTTGTGACAAAAGCTGGCGTCTCAGTAGATGATTTGGTTCACGGTTGACTCACAAACCTCAAAACGATATTCTTTTTCAACTTCCAATAGTTTCGATGCCCCGCTTTTGTCCGCTAAGGCGAAGCGGCAACCACTGTCCTTGATTTCGTATAGCAGCTCCCCTGAAATAGAAGCACAAACAAGGTCACACTCTATATTTATCGAAACGTTAAAGGGAAGGTGAACAGGTTGTTGAAAAAAACGAGTTAGATGTGAATTTTAGAGTATCTTTATCCCGCGAATCTGAATATCCCGTTCATTTTCCCCGAAGATGATTAAACGTGATAAAACACGAAAGACCTCCGACCAGTCGATACGTCACAAAAGGATCTCTCGGCCGCCAAGCGCGTGTCGTGCGTGTGGACAGCGCGTGCAATTGTGAACTTGCCAGGTATATTTCCCCGTACAGACACCAGTCGCGACGTCCTTTTCTGACGTTATCGAAAATAATAAGAGCGCGCGTGCATAGCTTTGATAGGCGCTAAAGATGCGCGAGAGCGGAGATTCCAAAAACTTGTTTTCTGACGTAAGGCTCTGGTAAGGAGGGGCTTCGGAGGTACACTTAAAATGATCTTCTGCAGCCTTCGTGCACCAAAATGAACAATGATCTCAATATTCGTGATCCGGGAGGCCACATGAAGACGATTTAAGTGTTATTGCTCAAATTCAGAAGAGCTTTAGCTTCCCTTTAATTAAGGTATATTTCCTACGGTGGCCCTCCCTGATTACAATTATTCAATAGTTTGCATAAAGAGACCTCGCTCTTCCAGTGAAATTTCTTCGACAATGGAGTAATTACATAAAGATAGATAGTTACCATAAAATCCGAAATTATACCGTTCAATTTGAACTTCCATTTGTTTTTGTTTTTTCTTATTTTTTGTTGTTTTCTTAATAATAAGTCTATGGCGATCTTAGGTAAATCGGCTGCTGTTTCTTTTATAGGCACTTTGAACACGCGACAGATGGAGCGCCATTGCCCACCCACTCTTGTCTTAACAAGATGCCGAGCCACTGAAAAGGGCGTCGACGAACCTCCACAACCGCCTATGCTGGAGAGAAGGACACTGTAGCACCTAAAGTGACAATAGCCTGTCCTTCTGTAGTAATGATGAAGTAAAGCGAATCAAAGAAGAGGAAACAAAAGTTGAAGGTCGGTTACGGCGGCGCCCATGCATAGCTGCCTGAAAGCTTCAATAGGTCCACCCTATTAGTTCCGTTCAACAACGACCTAAAATACTTCTTACTGAGCTCGTTGATGATGATATAAGTTTAGAACGAGTTATATACGTAAAGACAGGGGACGGGACAACACATCTTTCATGTGTTGTCCCGTCCCCTGTCTTTACGTACATAACTCTTTCCAAACTTAGATCTAAAATATGACAGTCTTTTTGAAAGGTTGCTTGATCAAAGCGACCCGAAGTATTTTCTCAAGCTGGTTACCGTGATGGCGCAACATTGAACCACCGGGTACAACACACGTGGGTTCAGAGCAATTTATGTGGAAATATGAACTATACTTGTGACGAGGGTAGGCCTAGCAAGAACCACTGTGCCACCGACGAATACCACTCCAAGTACTGCTGCTACGTTTTCCACGGTGTTAGAGAGATGAGCGCAGACGTAACTGCCGGGCCCCAAGCCACTACGTTGAAATCCCATGGCATGTCGTTGTATCTTTTTCAGTAGTTGTTTACCCGTCAACTGCTGCTCGTCGTCAACCTAGAAAAGGGTATGAATGGAGAATCAACAAAACTTAGCTCACGTCTTAGTTAGTTGATTACATTAATATTGAACACATATATCTACAACTTTGCTTTAATTTGTACTTCACAGCGCATAAACGTATCACAAGCACAGACAGAAAAACATACACACACCGCTGTTTTTCTGCCTGTGCTTGAGTGAGTGCTTGCTTGTGAGACGTTTATGCGCTGTGAAGTACAAATTATGGAAAACCAACTAGCCCCAGCAGCGGTGTTAACAAGCTACATCTTGGCGCACCCGTGTATGTTAACCGCATTTTATTTCAATTGGATGAGTTTAAATACTCTTTATTTACTAAGTTGGCAGCTACATAAAAATTGTATTGCCTGCAACGCACCCCCCCCCCCCCCCCCCCCAATATTGTGCTTGAAAAATAAATAAAAAGTTCTACATAAAGCTGTGCGTTGTGGTGACCAACAACGTTATAAAATTTTGTCCAAAATATACGCGCCATCCTGAAAGACCTTTTCAAGGATGTTTGCAGCATAAAAGTTGCAACTATTTACGTACCTAAGAAGCGTTTTAGTCAAGTCGCTCCTCAAAATGATGCTCCTGTCAGTACGTACGGCTCTTAAAAAGATTGTTATTTAAAATTCCCAACTATATAATGTCGTCTGTTATATTAACTACATAATAAATGTTATAACCAAGTTATACTATGTGATTAGTTTAGGTACCTTCTACAAAAATAAAATGACGCTGATCCAAACGCTATTTGTGCCGTAGTATTATTCCAAACACTTTTAGAACGCTCAGTAATTATATATATCCTATTGGTATTGGCTAGAAATATGTAGTGTATTTTAACTATTTTGACTCAAGTTCATACCTACTACAAGAATAAAACGTGGGTTCCTGGTCGACTTGTAAGCCAGCCTGAACAAAGTTCTAAAATAGGTCATCCTCTAGTCGCCCATAGTCAAGACGCTACACTTCTTCCAGGGCTATTTTCTGTGTGTTTACTTCATGAAGTAAACATTATTTAGATTTTGTAAAATAACAGATTGGTTAGATATATTCTTGTTGCTTATACGCCAAATTAAAATATGCCTTTCTCCTAACAATTTGCTTTCCTTCGCCACGTGTAAGTTTCAGTTCACTTTTTACTGCAATTTTGATGAGTAAAAATTTCGTAATGTATGAGCTATAAATCAAACAATTCACATTTTGTTCTTTCCTTCCAATCATTGTCTTCTTTATCCTTTCTTTTTTTTTTTTACAATGTAGGTTCTACACTTGTCAACTATACGAACAAAGTAGCAATATTACTACAGGAATAAATGGAATCTTTATGCTTGTTTACCTAACAACAAAAACGTCACTGATATTTTTTTTTTTTTTTTTATAGTAAGCCTCTGCATTGTGTGCAAATTCTCACCTTGCATCGCTTCCCATTGTCGCCATTTTCCGAGGACCCCGTCCAGCACGATCAACATTGTCAGCACCTATCTTTGCGCAAATGTCGTCTTTTTATTAATGATTCTTTTATAAGCACCCGTAGTATGGGGCGAAAAAAACGATAAAAAATAATACCGCGACATCATTCCAATGTGTTCTGACGGGCTGGAGCATGTACAGCTGTCCTGCGTTTGTAGCTCGCAAAAAAAAAAAAAAAAGAAAACCCAGACGACGCTTGTTACTCAAAAAAGGTTCACGCACAAGTATTCGCTCTTCAGTGTCCACGATGGAGTTTCCTTTAAGCCGTGTTTCGATTCGACCAAAGGTCCAACTCACCGCGACAATTGTGTCTCCAAACGTGGACAATCTCTCCCGAATAAGCCTGGGGGCTGAGTAGTTTCCCACGTCGAAGTCGGGAAACGGGGAGTGCACAACACCATCCACGATGCGTGTGGGCGCCATCTTGCTTTTCTGTTGTAAACGGGTAAGGTAGGAGGTTGAAAGAAAGAGAACGAAAGGATCTAGAGCCGAAAAATGCCGAGCTTCCTTAAAGGATAACTGCAAAGAAAAACTGATTTTTTTTTTAAACAGCCTAATTAGGAGAAGCATGTCAAGAAAACAAGTTTTCCGCGAGAAAAAAAAATTTACAGCAATATTTATTGCGTGAGACTGATTTTAGTTTGCGGCTATTTCGTCCGTTTTAAATTGCGCGCCACGAAGTTGGTGTTACGTGACGTTTACCTCAATTGACTGGCTAAGAGTTTGATTGACAGCTAAGATCTTGGTAGTTAAACCTTTGTTATATGTTGTAATTTCCTTTTGAGCGGCATATTTCTACGTTCAAAGAATAGCCCATGCAATGAGAGTTATTATTTGTTACAAAATGTTTACAAGACGGGCACTTCCGTTTGGATTCATACCCATAACAAACAAGAGCTTCGCCATTCTTTCATGGCCGCCGATGCCTCTGCTCCCGCCTGTCTCGCCTACGGCGCAGACCGCATGGCTCGTTTTTGCTCGCGATTCAGGCCATAGAGTTAATATAATGTACGCTAGAGGTTCAGCTGGTGCTAGTGTCCATGCGACTTCCGTGACGCCAATTGAAGCAGACAGCAACCAGTCTACTTTTGCGGTGCTCCTATGCATTCCTATGAGAAAACGCGCGTGCATTTTGTTTCTTCACCGGAAAATAACACGAAACACTTTGGTTATTTGGGTCGTACCGAATAGTATGAACCCTGATTAACATCGTAAAAGTGTAATTACTCTAGTTGGCGCATTTTCCTTCATCAGTGATTGATGTTTAACTCCGCTACATTTCAATTCCAAACGTGTGTTCCGCAGCACGTATGTAAAAACAAGCGACTATTCAAAGCAAATTACAATCGAAAGGAATATACAATGTGCTCAAGGCTCGCCAGCATTCCGGTGACGCTTATATATTGATAATATAGGCCAGTCCTGTCCTGTCACTATATGAAAATGATCCCGTCTTGCATGAGCGGATAAAAACATTCAGAACGTAAATAATGAAGCATGTGGGCTATGAAAGGTGTCTCTTCGTATTGTTTTCACTGCCAGGCAGCTTTTATCGGGCACTTGTTCTCAAAGATTTCTAGCGTGCGGGTGAATATTTGAACGTTGAACAAGCATCTTCACACAGAGCAGGAAGAATAAAGCTGTACTTAATTAAAATCGGAATATATTACGTGGGCTTGAATTTATTTTGATGGTACATGCACAAGCAATTACTGATCTAGTGTTACTGCGTAGTTGTTGCCCTCTCCCCTTAATATTTCCAGATGTCCTTCGTTCGATTTGCACGTACGTATATCCCTCATGCTGAATAGCGCCGACGTCGTGTTCGCGCTAGGAGTGTCCGACAGTGCTCATAAATACACGTACGAAGCCGTTTTTACACCGTTTTCAATGCGATGAACTTGAAAGAAAAACGCCGTATCTGTCCAATTATTTAATCGGCCTCATTGAGAAATGTCCCAAGCTACCTAGTATGTACGAATTATTCGGGATATTTGCTCTTATGATCGAGCGCAGGGAGAAAATAGACTGATCTTTTCCCATAGAAATGCATTACAGGAAGTCAATTTTTGACTGGTTGCTGCCTGCTTCAATTTGCGCCAGCACACTAGCGCCACTTGAACCTCTAGCGTACATTATAATAACTCTATGATTCAGGCGCGTCGGCGTCAAACTCATTTCCTGCGCGCGGGCGCGCGTTTTCGCGGTAGCGTTGGTTTCTAGCCGACCCAAAACAAGAGGCGCGCGCCGAGGCGTCGAAGCGCCTCTCGCCCAATGAGGGTCGGTCGAACTCTCACGTGATCCTGCACAGTACGCTGTTTCGTATTCAGCACATTTCAAAGTGTTCAAAAGCATTTTTATTTTCCATCTGAAAATTGAAAATGAGTTTCTTTTGACAGACAAACCCGTTTTTTTACTTATCTGTTCATTTAATTCTCTTTTTGTAGTATTTGCGTCAACAATTACATCGCGAGTTGAGAATTCTGTTATCTGGCAACGCTGATAAAGCGCGGCCGGCGGTGCTTGGCTTTGTCTGCATACGGGTGCCCCCGCGACAGCTTCCGCGCGAGCGTTCATAGCGCGTCGCGTTTTCGCGTGCAGAAAAACGCGCCATGCGGTCTGCGCTTACCTCGACTAGTCGTTTCGCCGAAGTGATTAGTGTTTTGTGTAACCCAGGTGTTTTAGTGAGACTTCCTGAAGCGAAGTAGTGTGTGTTTAGCAGCTGTCACCAGTGTTAGTGATAGCAAGATACGCGGGGTTCTGGCTTTCATAGCGCGGTTCGTTTTCCTCTTTGCTTCCTTAGTGTGCTTTTTTTTCTTTTGTCGTTTTTTGCTTGCGCGTGCACATGCCGGTTTTTTTTAGATGTCAGCTCCTGTAAAGCGGCGCCGTTGCTTAGTGCTGCGAAATCAGTCATCGCGACAGCGAGTCTTCCAGCAGCCATGTCGCCTCGAAAGATCACAAGCTGAATGCTATTTGGCTGGAGGCAATCGGCCGTTCACGTAGCGACAAACAAGTCCAGGGATCTTCTCGTAATTTCGCTCCGGGGGCCTTCGAGATTCGCGCCGGGTGCACCGAACGTCCGCGACTGAGACACAGCTGTTACGTAAAAAACTTGGCGCAGCCAGGTTATTACGTGAAAGCTGTCTGCAGAAGCCTTCGGACGTCCAAATTCTGCTTTAGACAGACTTTTTTTCCCGGCTTCCGAACCAGCTTACGTAAAGTTGTTTGAATTGAATGTGCACTGCTATCGTAAATCTCGGCTTGTAATGGACCTTTTCCAAATACCGACGGCACCAGGCGGTGGCTGCACGAACTGAAAATCGAGGAAGTGACCTACCTGCGCTACCAATCCATAATGGGAGTTACGCTACCAGTTGCTTCGCTCTCTGAGCTGCGTCGCGTGCCCAACGCGACTTTAAAGAGGGAAATCCGTAGCGTCCACCCAAACGTCGTGTTTTTCTTTCCGTCCCCTTTCTTCTTTTTTTTTTTTGTGTAACACAATTATATATATGCTGCAATTACGTGTTCTACTCGTCGATCTACAGCCTCATTTCAAATTTCCTCGATTTTTCGTGCCGACTTCCACCGCTTGGCATCGGGCGCTCGCGCGTGCGCAGAACGCTTCTCGGAAAAGGTCCATTACATCTTTGCAGATCATCTTATTCGTTTTGCTGGAGAGACGCAAACGACGGGCATAACAAAATCGTTTGCATATCCCGCATACCTCGCAAAAGAACTTCCCCAGTCATCTTGAAAAACACGGAGTCCGCACCGCCCTGACTTCCGAGTCTTTCACCTGCTTGACAGCAGTTTGTACCTGCTAGTAGGTCTGCCTACTGAAACTGCAACTTGAAGCAGTGCCAGAGAGGAAAGAGACAATGTTTGGAAAACTTAGTCACCCTTCCCAATTTCTGAACTCTCAAGTGATTGTACCATAATAAATGCACCAACGCCTCTTCCCAAAATAAAGAAAAAGCACTATGTTCAGTGCGTAAAAAATGGTTACAGTTCATGCATCTGTGAGCAGGTAGGAAATCTTGCCCAAATTTATTCACACCGCATGATGAGCGCTACAAACTCGCACGAGATTTGCAGGAAAATATCGGTGGTGATTTAACTTTCCCTGAAATTCTGTATAACCAGTAGTTTGCAGGACCATCTACTCGAGCGGTGTGCGTCGTTGTGCAAACACGTCGCTGTGCAAACGCAGTCTAACGACACCAGGCATAAAAACGGCAGATTTAGGACAACTATCCGGAGCCCATTGTTCAATTAAAACGACGTAATTTTGTTGAAAATGCCCCTCAGCATTTTACTCACGGTATGCGTCGGGAATCTTTCACATTTTGAAACGAAACTAAGCAAGATTTACTTTTAAAAACGCTCGCTGCCACAGCTCGCTGCGTCCTATCGGACCACCTGGAACGGATCAGCCGACGACGACGGGACTGAACCCGTTGAACGTCAACCCCCACAACAACCAATTGGCGCTCCGTGTTAGTGTGGGTTGCTACTTCCAAGCCCCGCACCACAGATCATGAACGTTTCAGCTTTTTTTCGCATCGCCGTGTTGCACCAAACAGAACAAGATCGCCAAAGTCAACGCAGCGCTGTCGTGAACGTTGGCTTGTGGTTGCGCACTCGTGGACCTTCTCACTCCCTTCGCTTTCAAACCACACACGACGATTACAAATGATACCTTCCGTCTTCCGGGAACATCAGAGGGGCACTTTCCGGTCACGTCTTCGCGACATGTTCTCGCAAACCGCGGAGGCTTCTGGCGCCCCGTCAAATTAAAACTATACCGGCGCCATGTTGAACGTGCCTTGTTGCAAGATTTTCACCGACCAAACAAATAATACTAAAGCAAACCGGCTCTAGCTGCCAGCGTACATCAACGGCACCTTCCTTATCCTCCCCCCCCCCCCCCCCCTTTGATCCGCGGCCGGAAGTGAAGACGCTGGGTACTCAGCAGCCAAGTCAATCCAAGAGAATCCAGGACTAAGGGGCGGGCGTACTTCTATGTGCCCGGGTCAAAAAAGCGGGAGTTTCAAATGTGGAGAGGTTGTAACTCCGACTAAATTACGTCCTGTGACGTAAATATTGCTAATTTTTTTTGTTTATTTTGTTTTCGCGGAAGGTTTGTTTTGTGACATGCTTGTTTCAATTAGGCTGTTTAAAAAAAATTGTAGTTCCCTTTAAAATTAACTGGGCAATATCGTTCTACCCAATGCTACACAAGTCCACCAATTTGGATATCCCAAACAATAACTCAGTGTTGGTCAGATCCCTCAAAAATCAAAAATAAATGTCCGTTCCTCATTCCCTTTTGTATTTCCAAAAATTAGACCTCGCGGTTCATTTCCTTTCGGATTCCGAAACAATGGCGTGTTATCCCAATCTTTTTTACATTCATGCAGTTT